AAATGGATTGTTTTCTTTTGTGTCTATTTGACTATCAAACTTTAAAGGCTGATTTACACGGTACGATTTGTCGCGCGCGACTTGTAGTATACGATTTTCCTACTACAAGTCGTAGGATTTTAAGCAGTGGTTCAAAATCCTACTACAAGTCGTAGGTTGCGTACGACTGTTTTAGACAAGTCGTAGGAGCATTTACACTGCGCGATTCAAGTCGTATACTACAAGTCGCGCGCGACAAATCGTACCGTGTAAATCAGCCTTTAAAGTTTGATAGTCAAATAGACACAAAAGAAAACAATCCATTTAGAGCGTAGAAACGTGTATAAGTTTAGTATATATTACACAAATTTTTTTGACTTCACTCTACTAGAGTTGTTGCCATGCTAAAATGTATGCTAAAGTTTGAAGAAGTGAATTTTCTTACCATTTGGAAGTGTCTTTTGTACCTCTCTTGGCAAGGAATCAAAAATACTTTTCACGATGTCAAACCTGTCATACGAATAAGATTAATAACCTTAGCGTTAATAATTAAATTCACYGGAGTTATGAAAATGAACCGACACACATTAATAAGTTGACTACTTGTTGTTCCTGACCTTCTAGAGATGGATTCCTCAAACAAATTTTGCTCCATCACAGTRGCCTTTAGCTGCTCTTCGACTTGCCTTGAACTCAACACTGAAAGCAAAGTCATTTTTATTTAATTAAGKCCTGGAAAAATGAGAAAAGAGGTACATATGTGCTCATGATAGAAACACTTGCTACGTTCGTATATCTGACGTTGCTTCTCTTGTGGTRCTGTAACTTGCGTCATTCATATATTGCTTATCGTGTTTGTATCAAGGCAGAGAAATGCCATACCATTTGATATTGCTAATCGATTATTTCATTATATATTTACAAGTAAACTGTACCATGTGATGCGGTTATTGGTCTCATGAGGGGTTTACTTCTACCAGAAGACGACGTTGGTCTCTTTAATGATACCTACAACGAACAAATGATAAATTAGTTATAAATACTGACAATAAACTACTAATAAATATAACAACAATAATTATGATAATGAGGATGATGTTTATGATGATGTTTATGATGATGTTGATGATGATGATGATAAAAGAGAACATGGTCTATCAGCAAACACATCAATTATTTCAACATTTGAATCTTTACCCCATCTACCAATTCTAGTGAAGGAATATCTTCATGAAGAACGTGGTGATACCTAAAAAAACAAAAAAGTATTAACAAGATACTACACTGCAAATAGATTATTATAATACCAAAAGTAAAAAGCGATAATGTAGTTGGTTTTACCCAATATTGTCAGGTGAAATACAAGGATTTCCTGAAAATATAACATAATAATGATCTTGTCAGACATCAAGCACCATAGTTTGTAGAGGAAACTACAGGAGGYTATAGGGAAACACTTTTGTTTCCCCCAAGCCTCATCTTCAGTTATTTTGCATGTGCCTACTCAACTAGAATATCAAAGTGGACTATACCTATTACACAAAGCTCTACCACATTTGTTTGTTTCAAATTATCCTGTAATTATAACATACATATTAATAATGAAGAATTATTATTTAATAATAATGATGACAATCTTCTCCATCACACATACTGGGACTTTTGTGTCACAAAACTACAACTTTCCATCAAATCAGCATGAGAAAATTTGTTACTTCATAAACAATTGTTACTATGTGATAATATTATTTTTAATTAATGACTTGTGTGGACTTACAAACTCTTCCCAAGATCTAATAGCATTATGGGAAATGTTKAAAACCTCTAGGGAAGGAAACTGCTGTGCTGTGTTCTAAAAAAAAGATAATATGAAATAGAATAGAATAAAATGTCATTTGGGAAGAAAGAACACCAATGAGACAGGTACAGAGAAATAAAATTTACCATCAGTGAAGACAATTTATTTTGTTGAACATATAATTCTTGCAATTTTCTGTGAAGAAACAAGAAATTAATTTAAGCACCACAGAAATTGAGTGAAAGAAAAGAGATAAACTTGAAAGAAAATAAATAAGAGTGAAAAAGCTCCAATTTTCACTTTTTGGTTTCATACTTTTGTTTTCCAATTGAGCTCAGGCTTGTTAATTGGTTGTTTGCAATATGTAGAGTCTATAAGAAATATCTAAATTAGCATGATATATACTAAAATCATGATAATATTGCACATTTGTACAAATTTTTATACAAATTTTACTATCACAATTGACAAGATACCCACCATTAGACAAACCATCCCTTTCAGCCCAGATAGATCATGAATACTGTTCCTTGACAGGTCTAATTCTTGTAACTATTAAATAATAATCATTAACAATACAATCATGTGACATTCCTTTATTAAAAAGATGAAAATACAGGGAAAGAATGCCAACAGACAACATACACTAATATCCAAGTCACCAGAATCACACACTTTGATGAATAAATCCTTGCCCAGTGAATAAAATCAATTCATAATCTAAACAGTAGGTAGCTCATATTTGTGTTGAATTTCCACTCCTCACGTACTTGAATYACTATTATTATTATAAAACTGCTTACATGTCTACATCTGCTGATATCTGGTAGAGCAGTAAGTTTATTTGCTGATACRTCAAGTTCTTCTAGTGCTGATAAACAATTGATAGCCTAACAAAAAAAAAATAACAACAACACATAAATAATATCCGTAGCTTAGATCGCAAGGTCATGCTATACAAGAGRCATTATACAGTATGAGCATTACATGGTAGCAAAGAATACTTTCAAGGTTTTTGACAGCTTAATTATATATATAGGAGAATACACAGACACCAGTTTGGGGGTTTCAAGGGCTTTATTAGCCTAAACCGTGCGTGACCATAAACCCCCCAGCAGGGAGGGGTGGGTGGGTAGCGCGAAGTATGTAGGACCTAGGCTGAGCTGTACGCTGAAAGTGATGTACCTCGTGCTGACATACTATCTAGGTGGATACAGTTACAGGCCGCTGTTAATAATTAAACCTGAATAAAGTAAATGTTATTCTAAAGGTCATGCTATACAAGAGGCATTATACAGCATGAGCATTGCATGGCAGCAGAGAATACTTTCAAGGTTTTTGACAGCTTTATGGGATGAATTAATGAATTGATTGGCAGCTAGAAAATGAAAAAGGGATGAAAAGGGAAGATGAATGGAAGAAACAGATAAACAGTGAGATACTGTATAAGTATAGTCTCCTCTCACAGCCATTACGAGGCTCGTTCCTAGGTCACTCTCCCCTAACACTTTCCCCTAGTGGGAGAGACCTGGGAATGAACCTCGTAACAGCTGCAAGAGGGGGACTAGTACAAGTATTAAGATTATTGAATTAACATATTTGTTTGATCTATGGATTACATGTGACAGAGGGAAAAAATGAATATGAAGTGAAAGGGAATGGCGGATGGAATGATATTTGAAAAAATGAAAGAATAAGAACTCCTGATGTTGTACTAAATTGTGGAGTAATGAGAATGCTTACCGATATATTAGTAAGAGCGTTATTACTGATATCCAGGATTGCAAGGTCAGCACAGCCCCCTATCTCACGGTGGTCAATACTGGACAGTAAATTGCTATCCAGTCGTAGAGTCTTCAGTTTACGCACATRCTGTAAGCCTTTCCCTGTCAATCAAATGATACATATTATAAATAATAGCAAACTAATATACATATYGTGCAGTGAAGGTGAAGAAGTTATGACCAAACGGTAAACACAAAAGACTACAGTCAATATAAGGTGCCTTTTRCTATTTTAATTAATGAAATAATTTMTGCTGAAATGYTGAAAAGTACTCTAGACTGCAGACCAGGAATGGAAACCTACCTATGGATTGAATTCTGTTGTGTTGAAGATGAAGGCTGTGGAGCTCTTTGGTTCTGGTTTGTACAGAAAATAAATATAAAACATGGAGCAAATAAATGAATAAATAAATAAATSAGTGGWTGACTGAATAACCAATCCTCTGAGGCAGTGGAAAAGTCAGTGAAAACAATGAATGCATGAATGAAAAAAAAAATGGAAGAAGGTTAAAAATAACTACATGRATGAATATATTTTTAATCACAGACATATTTACTTTTCTAGTCCTTGAATTTTTTCTATTTTGTTTGAGTAAAGTTTAAGCTCCTTCAGTTCCTATGAAAAATATAATCCAATTTAATAAAGACACTTTACTGATGACCAACAACATGCTACACTTTAATAMACACAAAACTGACTCAGTAGCTTGTAATATCTACATGTATGCTACAACTTTTGATTAGCCATTTCATTTTCAGCATATTTGCTATAGACTGGATACATTACTGCAGTCCAAGGAATCTAGTTCCAACTGGGGGTTAAAGAAATAGCTTTTAATTTCTATTTTTCCTGAGTAGTGAACGTTTTTGTTCGTTTAGCTCAAAAGGGTACTTTCATGGTACATACAGGGGGTCTATACTAATTTTAGTTTATTGCATTTTGAGTTTACAGCAGTACTGAGTTATCATTTTTCCAACTAACAAGGCTTACATTTAAGTTATGAAGGCCATYTATTCTTGTGATGATATTGCAAGATAAGTCTAATATCCTGACTTTACAAAACTGAAAAAATATAATATCAACAATGATTAATCATAATGGTGGGAACTAGCGGTAAACTAGTGTGAGCTGCGTCGGTGTTTCTAAAGAAACAGTTGTGTAAAGAAGATAAGTTTAACACCGTAAAAAAGTATGGGAAATAACTTACTGATGTTTCGGATGTTAATCCTTCGTCGGAGTAAAGAGGAAGGATTAACATCCGAAACGTCAGTAAGTTATTTCCCATACTTTTTTACGGTGTTAAACTTATCTTCTTTACACAACATTAATCATAATGGATTAGTAGCTAATTCTTGACTTTCACACAACAACAAAAAAAAACCTATTTATGTTCGCATTGCATCTCAAAGCAGCTGTATCGGCTGTATCAGCTGTATCAATATGGAACTTGATCACAATCCTCCTCTGCAGTCAGCTAGTTGGGTTTCCTTTGGCACAGGTAGCCCAGAGTAAAGTATGTAACATATTACATAGAAAACATGTAAACAAAGCTCTGTCAAATTAAGCATTATAACAATCATTGAGGCTCATTTCATATGTCATGCCACAGTTGTTCAGAAACAAAAAGTCAATGTGTCCACTAGATTTGACACTAGCTCAATATACATGCAATCATATGTTAAATATGTTAGAATTCTAATGAATTCTAGCCAGTGTACATGTTGAGTTTTTCCAGAGTGCATTTTTTTGTTACATACGCCATTTCCTTTCCAATATCATTTTTTAAATTGCTAAATAAGCTTACTGGACAAATGACAATTACTTAAGGTTTATACATGTACATTCCAACAACTTTGCTATATCAACAAATGTTGTTCTGTAAAAGRCATTAAATTATGATCGCAAACCTGGTTTATGTCTGGTATGCTAGTCAACTTCTGACTACTCAGGTTAATTTCAAACACCTTGGAAGGATGACTCTCTTGTGCCTTTTCAAGCTGGAAAGAAATTACCCTTCATAAGTTCAGGACAGAAAAACGAAGTTGTATCACCTGTGTCTTACAATTTGCAGAGTTAACTCGTTGTCCGCATTTTCATGGTTTGATTCCTTGTCCACCTTATTTGTGGCTCTTTTCTTTGCCGTTGTATCTGACTTGGGTCGGCGATGGTTGATATTCGGCAGCGGATTTCTGATAGTCGTTGCTGACGAACTTGTGACAGCTACCCGACTTGACATTGCACCAAATTTAACTGACCACAAAATTCGCGTTTRATACTGCTGACATCTTCTAGATAATGTAGATATATTTTCAAAGAAATGCTGGTATCTTTTTCTTCAGGAACGAATAAATCTATCGCCAACAAACCTGTGGCAACATACTTTTAATACTACTGTTTCTAGGGCGCCATTTTAAAATAAATCCCAGAAGGCCATGCGATAAAAACACAGGAAGCCCATCAAAGATGATTGCCGCTGGCGACACAARTCAAAGGTCCAGCATTTTCATCCAACATGATGGCTATGACGTAAYATGACGTAGGATCAATGTGTAAGTTGATGACGTATATGTTGTAGGGTTAAAGATCAAATGGGTACCAAATATAAGGCGTTTGTCAYTCCTGTCTAAGCGTTATTAAGAGCAGCTCCCTGGACCTTGGTAAGTCATAAAATAGTGGATACTTGCTGCAATTACAAGTGAGTTTTTATTTGTTTTAAGCATTACGGCACTGATTATTCATCTGTAATGACTATAGATTCATTTGTCTTGAAGTCATAGACACTTGGARGAAGGAACAATAATGCAATTTCTCATTTTGGCTCTTGTACTTTCGGCCTGTTTCCTACAAATAGCAGGTCAGTAGGCAACAGTGGACTTACTTAATCCGCGACTAAAAAATATTAGTAGTCATTACTAAATAGAGTACAAACACTAAAACTGTGCAACATAAATTACCACTCAATACTGCTAAATCATCATGCWAATTCTATTGTTTTCTATTGTTTAATTAACACTATTTTGTAGTAAATAGTGGAAAGTGTTGCACACATTTAATGTTTATATTCTAGTGTTTTATACTTATGGTTTATGTTTACAAAACGCAATATATTATATATATATTATTTCGAGTAACGTTCAGTACAATCATGGCCAGCGGCCAAAGCGGAAGTCACTTTAGAAAGGAGTGGTGGGCATTGCAATGCACGCGTTCATCATCACACTCGCTGTATCCACGGGATACAGTTACGATRCACCTACGGCCTCTTAGAGCCTAAGTACTCTAACATCGCTTTATTTAACAGACCAAAGGAATCGCAAGAATCGGCAAGAATCAGTATACGAGCGACACTTYTGTGCAAGTCGAATACTGATTTATTCAAATCATCCCGTAGTCAAATCAACGAAACAATATTAGATTAAAATGTTTATTTGGCATTTGATTTTTTACTACAGCATAACATTAACAAAAAATAGAAAAAAAGAATTAGAAAGTTACAAGTGGTTTTCTGTTCTTCGATTTTGTACTAAATTATATTATATTTGTTTTGTTCATACACAAGGAAACGCACCTTTTAAATATAAATATTTTTTTACGAGCAACGAAAGAAAGCCAAAACAAAATCACAGTGAATCATCAAACAAGCTAGACGCGCGGCGCGACTAAATGCACGTGGAGAATGCGCGCATGCTGCAAACTGAAAACGAACCAAATGCAAGAATATCAGTTTACGTTACGATTGCGCATATGTTAGTATTACATTAAAGGTTAGAGATTAACGCAGTCGTAACATAAAGAGATATCTTTGCATTCAAAAAAATTTTGCGCACTGCGCCTTACGCAAGGAAACCAGTTAACGTTACGAGTACGTGCTTAGTAGTTAGTTCACAGTTAATGTTATCAAGGATTAACGCACACGTAACGTTGCCCGATATCCTTGCGTGTTTAGCTAAGAAGCGCAATACCCAGMCACTCCGCGAAACGAATTTGAAAATCGCACGTCACGCAAAAATCACCAGTTTATATTACGTGTTCGTATTCGTTAGTGATCAATGTTATAAGTTGTGGATTAACGAGCACATAACATAAATCCGGTGTCATTACTTACGTAAAGCGCACATTCTATGATTGCCTCCCCCAGTTCAATAGAAATACAAGTTTAGAGCAATTGCCGAAGTTTCACTGTTTCAYCACTATTTTTTTTACAACATTGCTTAAAAAGAAGCCGGTATAACTCAATCAGGTCACATAAGTATGTAAAGATCTCTGTCAGCAAGAAGGTCTTCCATCTACTTGTTAAGGCGTCATTTCGCACACACAAATTCTCGCTTGAGCTGATCTGAGGAAACATAGCAAAAACGAATGGCAATTTAACTCAAAATCCAAAGAATATATGAAATATAATGATATATACTATTAATCTAGTAAGTAATTAAGGACATCCTTGACAGCGAKAAAATTTTTACGCTGTAGTGTCTCAAAGAGGGGCAGGGGGGTGGCGAAGGGATTATAGCGGAATTGGGAGGAGAAATTCCACTTCAAATATAACCACGCAAGACATTTCAAGACATCACTTTTTGCATGCTCTTAATATGCTTACATTCAACAAACATCCCTTCCACTGTATTTTGACTAGCTTGTAGAGGTACTTTTTTGACAATTTTTGGCATATACACTCTTCTCCTCCATCGGGCAATATATACGCTTGCAGATAAAGCTGATAAAGCAATAAGAATACAGTCCGTGATAAAACTTAATATATAATACAACACTGATCAAAATAAGATTCAGGTTAAGTGATGATTGAATATAAATTATGAAGTTTAAGTTTTTAAAAACTGTCAGATCTCCAATTTCGTATATAACCATTGACAGCAGACYGCGAGTTGAAAACACCTGAAAATAAARACAAATCACATTTTAGAAACATCAAAAGGACTCCGAGCTGAACGTCCCAAACATTTGAAGAGTTTTGATCTTAACTGCACMAAACTTARGTYATATAAAGCGATATAAGCCATTGMGAAGTTTARAGCATGAATTGTAAATTGTTTTAACTAGACATAATTGGCGTCAATAGCTCTAGCATGAGTTTAATATGAAAATAATAATTGCGCAAAATGAATCGAAGAACTACGTTTTATCGATCATACATAAATAGACAAGAAGTATACACAATAAGATGTAGATAAAAATCGCATGAAGTGAAATAGGAGGAGAACAAAAATACAAGGAAATAACGAAGCAAATTAAAAAAAAAAACGTGGAAGGCAAACAGGATCCAAGGGAAAATTGCAGTTCGGAAACCAGTCGGAAGCTAGTCGCAACCAGGTCAGAAGCATTTTGGAGCCAGAGAAAAAGTTAGAAGCCATACTATTGCAGCCCAATCGAAAATGTCTGTTGAATCCAAAWGAAACCAGATTGAAGCTCGAAAACYAGGAAAAGTCCAAGCAACCAGCCTCTTTGCATGTCTAACAAGTCCATAGTATGTTACCCATGTAGAAGAATACCCAAACAATTCCACAGCTTTTCTATTATGTTCTCAAAAGAATGTATATCCAAGCTGCACTGCGCGYTCACATSCCCAAATAATCTGCGCGCATCTTCATACTAACATAATCTGGYCAAGTATTGACGACAAGCGTCGAAACAAAGTCGTCCTGCAATATCTACTTGAAAATGATCCAAAATAAGTGTGTGTCACAGAAGTATTTATATCAGTAAAATATAAGTATAACTACAGGGAGAAGTGGTCAAAGAAGTCGCGATTGGTCCAAACCGGAAATACATGCGTATGTTATATTCTCTCAACAGCTTGAAATCGTTTTAAAAGAAATAAAGTCTGCCCACACAGCGGAATCGTCTACATGCCTAGCCCTATACATATCAAATATAAGATATGATTAACATAAATAATGTTGTGGCCAACAGCTTATAACGAACATAACTCTACATGCCTAGACCTATACATAGGCAAATATAATATATGGTTAACATTATATAATGTTGTGCCCAACAGCTTATAACGAACATAACAGTCTACATGCCTAGACCTATAGCCGGTCCAAAATCTCTTTGTTAGAGAAAAACTAAGAACTACAAGTAACACATGACTATAGATCAAAAACCAAGATACATTACGAGTCCAATATGAAGCTTATGGTATGCCTAGACGTAAATATGTAAAGCCTATAAAAAATGCGATTCATTAAAACCAGTCTGATTTAGTACATAGAGTATGCGTTAGGATGGAGTGGAGAACGGAGGGTTATAAGAAGGGTCTTGCCCTTCTCAAAGTTGGCAAAAGTCAAGCGCGAGACTCATCTTTTGCCAACAATAACAATTCATCATAAAAAGACAACAACACTAAAAAATTCACGAGTAACACAAATATATGATTAATAGAATAAAATAATATTCACATTATCGAAAGCTACCACTCGAAACAAAAACCTTGGGCGCGGCTTGAAGCTCGTCGTTTCAACCCAGTTTGGTTGTTCTTGGAAGACCTGCATGCTGGGAAAAATGTTTAAATGCCATGGCAGTCACATTAGGACGTACTCATGGCATTTACAAGGGGTTCGTGTTAGTCAAAATCTAAGCTAAATCAAGGCCGTGAAAAATATGRTTTTGCTAAATTTGGAGTAAGCTAATCTGGGAAGCAGCCATCATCACCAATATCCAACGACCGAGATGGATTGTGGGAAGTTGGGGCGAGGTCTGGAGAACAAGACGGAATACAGCTTCAATACGATAAAAAAAAAACATTTATAGGACCACAAAAATCTTAAAAAAAATGCAATAGCAGAAGGAAAGAGACAGAAAAAAAAAAATTCAAAATGCATAAAACTAGAATAAATAAATAAATCAGGGACATCTCGGTACGATGCATACCAGCGTTATTGTGTATTGTTGCAGTCACTGGACAGCGCTAAACCTACAAGTCCTAATAGCGCGACAAAAACACTAATACCTAAGGGGACCCCTGTGAAAAACACTGTGGTGTGTGTATCTATATCTTATTTGTATGCAAACTGACCAGAACTGCATTAAAATGATGGCTGAACCCCAGTTCTATGGACACAGTAAATAAGACAAAGTAATTCAACAACTTGAAGTAAATAATGAGTCCAAGTCCAGCCCACGTCTTCATGTGCAGTCTTCATTTGCATTAAGRTCTTGCTGTGGTCTCCGAAAATGACCATAATGCATTTTGGTCCCCGAAAATGACCATAATAGAAATGAACAATAAATTGGAGTGGTAGCTTGTTAATATAAACATCCCTAGGCCCGTACTTGAAGCACGGAAACCCTCTAAACTAATTAGATAAATGAATTCTTTCTACTTGCGACTACACATGAAAAATGCTGCGGTCATGAAATTTAAAAATATGCTCAAAAAATGCTGATAATGGAATTGCGCGCGCTCATAAAACAATAAAACAAGAACAATATATAAACTTTAGCGTACACATACAATGAATAAACAGCAATTATAAGCTAAGAATTTCGTTCGTCGCAAGAGAAAGAAAGCATTTTGGTCGGGATGAGCTCCATTTGAATTAGGAGCTGCCATAAATCATGACTGTACAACAAACACCTCGAGGAATTTAGCGCCAATAATAGCCAAAACGCAATGCAATGAATTTTGCTTCCTCGAGCGCTGTTGTGCTATCTATAATGAACCTGACTAGACGTCTTCATCTGTTGTCAAGGCTGGTGCTGAGCAAGAAAGAAAGAAACATAGTTATATGGTACTTTTTGAACTATATGCATCAACTAAAATGATTTTTTAGGAACTTAGTTTTTAATATATAAACATCACGTACATACGTCATAAACACAAATATAAATGCAATATTAAGCTTAAATACAATATGTAATATAATATATTTGAGCCAAAAAGTAATAAGTTTTAAAACGCTCCATGATAAACGAACAAGAATTTTACTAGCTACTATGCAAAAATAGTTACGTGTCAAGGTGTACGTRTAGCCGGCTGTTTTTTAGGGCGTTTGCATATTGCTTTTTATCGCAATATAGACAAGAAAAAGCTACAAAATGTTTGGTTCAAGGTTTCAAAGCATTGGTTTAAACTTCCCTAAAGTTTTAGAAATTTCCATATCATTGATATAGAGCTTCACACAACTTACCTCATATGATGTTTGCCTAGCTGTGAAGGCAAACCTCGTGTTTAATGGTGGTGTGACGTGTGTACACGAGGAATTTGAGACCGTCAATCAAAATATTTTAAGCCAATCGGAAAAGGAGATTTTTGAAAACTAAAGTTTTATTGGTTTGCTTAGATTAAGGCGGAGACGCGCGAGAAGTCCGATACATGCTGGAATGCGCAGGCGAGAGAAAATCAAATGAAAAAAAGGCTTTTGTACTTGTAGACAAAATAAACACTGCGCGAAACGCAAGCATACGCATTAGAACTGGCGCAGACACAAACCTCAATGTTTTGTTTTTGGACGTAGGTAGTGAGTATTGTGCTATAAATATTTCATATGTTTACTTGTCTATACTTTTAGAATTTTAAACGGTTTTTTTYCAATCATTTTTAGATGCCCAGCCAACCAACTTGACAGTACAATTGTCCATCTTTTCTGGTCGTCGTGATCCTCAGTGGAACGTGACTCCTTCGACTCCAAACTACGCTAACATTATGAAAGCCTACAATCACGCTAAGAATGCTGGGACACTACAGTCCTATGGTCAAATCCAATCCAAGCTGGGATACCGAGGATTCGTCATCAGTGAAGATGGAAACACGAGAGATATCAAAACGTTGAAATTAGTGGTTGGGTCAGAAACGAAGCGTCTGCAGATGCTTTTGCTTGAAAGTGTTCCTAAAAGATGGCTAAGTCCATTTCTTACGAACRTCATCAAAAAATCTATCGGCCAAGGTACTTATCACTTCTTTGATTAAAGTTTGAAAAACATTTCATTTTCATTATTTTATTGGTATTTCATCAGAAGYTCAGCAAACCATCTTAAATGTGAAATTGCCCATCTTCTCTGGACGTCGCGAYCCTCAGTGGAGAGTGACACCATCGACTTCCAACTACGTCAACATCATCAAAGCCTACAAGCACGCTAAGAATGCTGGGATGCTTTTGCCTTTTGGCCAAATCCAATCCAAACTGGGATACCGAGGGTTTGTCATCAGTGAAGATGTCAAAACGTTGAAATTAGTGGCTGGGAGAAAAACGAAGCGTTTGCAGATGCTTTTGCTCAAGAGTGCTCCYAAGACGGWGATATCAGGTCGAATYATTAAGAGCATTTGTAGATCTATCAGGAAGCAGTCGTGAATCAAACACGACGAAAAATAAAGCCGACAATTTTTTACTACTCCCAACATGTGATTAAAAACGTCTTTTGCATTATAGTTGCAGTTTATTTTATTAAAAACCTTTATAGAGCTCTAAAGCAATAATATCTATGACAAAAAAAGGAAGATAAAAAACAAGAACCACTTCGTGGAACACACGGTGTCCCGGGTTACGTTAAGTGTATAGAATTCTGYYGTGGAATATAMTTTTGTCAGCAMAYCGCGATTGATTTGATAGATTCTGCGTAATCTTTTCCCATCATTTATTCTGAATATTTTTTAACCCTTACTCGGGCTTCCTATCTGAAATCCTCTAGCTATTTCGATGATTTCATGAGGTCAATTCATTATAATTAGATTCTACTATATGTGCTTTTACTTTCTAAGCCTGACTAAGTGTGGTCCCCTTTTCCTRAAAGCAATACAAAACAAAAATAAATAATACAACAACAAGCAACTCAAAACTTAGACTATTTTGAGGCTTGGAAACTGTAATTACGCGAGGGACGCTCCAATTCCACAGGTATCCCAAATCCTTCTCACCGGAGCTACCATGATCACTTGCGAGGATAGGATTCAAAATGGCGAACTAAAGTCAGTGGAAGATGCACAAATCTGATCGTAAGCTGAGCTGAACAGCCCCAAAAGACATTTGAAAGGACGGGATGAGAATTAGAAAACCACTAAGAATGTAGGAAGAGTGTAGCATTTTTTGTTTGTCGCTTCGTGGTGGTAGAAATTGCCGATATTATGTTTTGTCTCAAAAGCGCGGGAAAATGAAACTTCTTCATGAACGTGTGTTTAAGTTATATTATATCGAGATTTGACAGAAAATGAGGATTTTGAACGTTGCTGAGAAAAACGATGCTGCTAAGGGTTTGGCAGCAATTATGTCTCGAGGACAGTCGCGAAAGGTACGATTTCACTCCCTAAATTCTTGTAGAAATTTGTGAAAGTAATCTTACATGCAGCTGGCTAAACCACTRTCAAATTGTCTATTACAGCGAGAAGGGTTTTCTAAGTTCAACAAAATCTACGAATTCACCTGCAACATTCTGAATACAGTAAGTTGAAAGCACTTTATCAACTTACTTCATCTATTAACGTATTGTGTATGTCCTCAGTGCAGTGGACTTTGTTTTCAATTCACATTGCACACATTTCACGTCACATTGTCAAGTCACGCAAGTTATATGCAAGCATGTATACATGTAATAACTTAAGACAAAGAAACATTCATTGTAACTTACTCTTTAATATGCAATTAGTCCTGTCTGTTTCTAAAAAGGTCATCAGAAATATTGGTGAATTCTAGGGCTTACAGTAACATAGTCAAACCGCCTTGTTGAACCCTTTGATGGGTGAATATTAATTTGTCATCAATAATACCCATAAAAACATTCASTTGTTTGTTCTCTAATCTCCTCAAAAATGAGTTAAAATTTAAATATTATTGTAGGATGGTATGATATATAATATATTAGGATGCGGTAATATATAATWTTTTTTTTTTCTGGTACAGAATGCGCAAATGGTAATGACATCTGTGTCAGGTCACATGATGACTCTTGACTTTGCACAAGGCTACAAAAAATGGTACTGGYATTAATCCAAACTATACTATCTACATAACTCTATGTGTGTATCAGTGCTCACGAATAATCCAGTTTCRAATTCTCCAGTGCTCTGTGTGTTAGCCTCATTTGTGCGCAAAATATTCCTAATTGTGAGAATAAAAGTGTGAGATTTCAAATCAATTCCATTGTCTTTCTTTTCAAATTCCATGTGTTTTCTCAGGCTATCAATGAAACAAAAGAATATGTTACTTGAGTGGTTTTGAGGCTAACACAGAGCAAACCAGAACTCGAAATCGGAGTATTCCAATCTCCAAACAAGTGGTGCATTGATGGATTTAATTCTGAAATGTTTTAACATTTAAAAAGAACTGTATATAATTCGTAGGAATAGTTGCTCTCCACTGCAGCTGTTTTCTGCACCTGTCGTTAAACACGTTGGAGAAGACTACCAAAAAATAAAGGTATGTGATGCTGGAACTGCTGACTTCCTATTAGAAACATTGACTACCACCCTGGGTTGTTCAAAGCTTAAATTTGTGCTTATCCTGGTTAACTCTTGGAAAAGCTAACCTTGGATTAAAGTTAATTGGTCTTTGAACAACCCAGACCTGGTAGTGAAAAGGCACAACTATTTCTCAAAATTATTAAAGARGTAGTTGACAAAAGTACACATTGTATTATAAAATGACTTTTTACGTGTTTTATTTATTATTTCTCTCATCAAACAGAGAACTCTTGAACGTGAAGTAAGAGGTTCACAAGCACTTATCATATGGACAGATTGTGATCGAGAAGGAGAAAACATTGGATTTGAAATTATCAATGTTTGTAAACAAAGTAGGTACCATATGTACAGGGTTGTATTGTTTTAAAAGGACACTGTCAATGGATGACATGCGCAGTAACAGTCTCACCTCTAACGGACTTTGAAAGTATAACCTTCGAGGTAAATCATTTTGTGGTGCTTTTGACACACTTTGGAATATTCTAGATCTGTTTACGTTTACGATCTGATTTATGTCGCGCCAACTTGGAGTCATAAGCTTGAAAACACTAGCCTAGTGTTTTCAAGTTTACTCGCGCATGTCATCCATTGACAGTGTCCCTTTAAATCCATKGTTAAGATTTTTGATAGTTAACAAGCAGGATGAGCGCTAATCAAGATTTAAACTATCAGATTTAAACTACAGATATTTTTGTTTTAGTTTGTCCAAGAATAACATTATACAGAGCAAAATTTTCAGAAATTACACCACAGTAAGTGAGAATAATTRATACATGTATTTGTGTTTTAGTTAATTATATCATGCTTTATTTGTAATATTCTTTATGAAATTTGTAGATCCGTTGGTAGAGCATGTGCAAACCTTGTACCTCCAGATCATTTACAAGCAGAAGCTGTCGACGTAAGAATGGAATTAGATTTAAGGATAGGTACATGTCGAGACTTATTGAATTGATTATATGAAATGTCCAAACTGCACAGTACATGCAGTAAGGGGGCTTTCATTTATAAGCTCATTGGTGGTGGTGGTGGAGGGGGATGAGGGTTTGATGATTTTGGAAATAATTGTTTCTTAGGGGGGTTTGAAGATGTTTATACTTGTTATGTGTGTGTGTGTGTGTGTGGGGGGGGGGTCTTATAATCTTGGTCTTATCATAAGGCGGTTGTGATTAGATTTATAACATGCTGGGGGTGGTTAAATAATGTTTTCAGACAGATGTATAAAATTTTGCCATAACCCACCATGAGCTAATAAATGAAAACCCCTCTAACAGGAATAACATGTAATGTTTGTTGTACTTTATATTTTATTCAGGAGCAGCTTTCACCAGGTTTCAGACATTAAGGTTGTGTAAGGTGTTCCCTAATGTATTGAGTGATCAGCTGATTAGCTATGGCAGCTGTCAGTTTCCTACTCTAGGATTTGTCGTTGATAGAGTAAGTRCAATATTCATAGACCACTTTCATAAGTGCCTACYATCGATTTTATACAATTTATAATATTATGGAGACATTCAACACTRTCATATGGAAGAMCTATTAGAAATAGGTTTTCATGGAAAGTTTTAAAGCCATGGACTAAATACTAACAAAGTTATAGTGGAATAGAAATACAGGGATTTGTATGGAATTCTTTGCTAGTGACTGGGTAGCCTCGTTTTGGYGTTTTCGTACCTCTTCTAACCCTTATAACTTCAAGAGTGTTTAATATTTTTCTGTGAAACTTTCAGAGATTATCTTTGACTTTGATATCTCCCATTTGAGTGTTTTTATTTGTCAACATTATTAATAGAGCGATAATATGCTAATTAGTGTTGGCCATTATGAAAGTCATGAATTAAGTCATCTACCCCTGACTGTAGATGGTATTCAATGTAGACTTTAAAGTATTTCTCATTCTTATYCTTTTTTATATATTTTTTATTCTTYCCTTTTCTTTGTTCATTTSCTTTTACTTCCCATTTTGATATTCCTTTTCATTTAATTCTCATTATGATTTTTTGTTTTGTAGTATAAACAGGTTGAGCAGTTTGTTCCTGAACAGTTTTTCAAAATCAAGGGTTAGTATTATACAATTTAGTATTATAAAATTCACTTGGAATGTAAGAAATCAGATGGAGTTTAGGAGCATTACAGAGTTTTTACTTMAAATGCAAATGGTTGAGCTCATTAATAGGTATTTTAGTGTGCAAACAACTTACTAAAACAACTGATTTTAAAATTGTTATTTTTATTTGTAGTTACCCATGAGGTGGAGTCAAATAAAGTTGATTTTGTTTGGAAAAGGTATAARTTGAAATTKAATTCCAGTTTTATGAATCATGGATAAWTTTTTTTTTGATTATATTAAACTGTACATTCATGGACACTGCACAGCGTAGAACATATATTTTCATAAACTATTTTCAGCTGTAACTGTTAAGAATTTTGTGATTCTATGATTTTGTCAATCTAAGTCACCCTTAGTGTCATGAAAATAATGCTTAATAACTAACATAGTGACAGGCCTTGCCCTATGTGAATTGCAAATATCAATTTTTGTTTTCTTTATTACTGTGTTGTAACAATTCAGTAGCCTGATGATGTTCTTGGAATAAAGATTGAAATATCGCCTTCCATTTCTCCATCTCATTCTGCAATAATGCACTTATTTGGRTTAATGTTTATTTTATATTTCCTCAAATTGTCAGATGGTAAAGGCTAACAGGCCTCAAACCTTTGAATGCTTGTATTATTGCAGGGGAAGGCTATACCAGCATACACCTTGCCTTATTCTCTATCAAATGTGCTTGGAGGTAAGATAAATGTTTTAGTTGAACCTGTAAAGCTCATTTTTCAAAACAAGGGGATGGTCATTGTTGAACCAATAGAAACTGGCATCAGGTTTATAATTATTCTCTTTTCTTTTCTGTCCTTTCTCTTTCCTTCTTTCTCCCTCCCTCCCTTTTCCCTCCTTCCTTTCCTCCTCCCTTCTGCCCTCCCTCCCTCCTTCCTTCCTTTCTTCCTTTTGTTTCCTCCCTGTCTCCCTTTTCCCTCCCTTCCTTTTCCCTCCTTCCTTTCCTCCTCCCTTCTGCCCTCCTTCCTTCCTTCCTTCCTTCTGTTTCCTCCCTGTCTCCCTTTTCCCTCCCTTCCTTTTCCCTCCTTCCTTTCCTCCTCCCTTCTGCCCTCCCTCCTTCCTTCCTTCCTTCTGTTTCCTCCCTGTCTCCCTTTTCCCTCCCTTCCTTTATTTACTCATTCCTCCTTCCATCTATCCCTCCTTCCCTTCCCTCCCTCTTTCTTTCCTTCCTTTCCTCTGACACCATTCTTCCCATTTCATTTTTATTTCACTCTTCTTTATTGGCTTCCTTTTGTTGTTGTTGTTGTCACTGTTGCTGTTGTTGTTGTTGTTGTTGTCACTGTTGCTGTTGTTGTTGCTGTTGTTGTTGTCACTGTTGCCATTGTTGTTATTGTTGTTGTTGTCACTGTTGTTGTTGCACTTCATCTTTACTTTGTACCCTTTGTTAGAATCCTACTGCAGTTGTCATAGGAACATCATCACGTCCCAAGAACAAGTGGAGACCTGTCGCACTTGATACAGTGGTAGGCGGACATTATAATTGAATAAAGAGAATATATTTTATAATTTAATCATTTTTAATTTTAATCAAAAACTTGCTTTAAAAATTTCATTGAGCTACCTTACCATACAGTACATTCTTGTCATGTGCATTTTAGGAACTTGAAAAGTTGTCTTCAAGAAAGCTTAGGATTAATGCCAAGGAAACAATGAAAATAGCAGAGAAATTATATAATAAAGGGTAATGATTTTTTATATATTTTATATTTAATTATAAGTAGAATGATCAACCAAAATGTTTTGCTGGAAAGTCATGTTGAAAACGATCCTTTCCAATTAAATTTCCAATTTTCAAATCCTTTACCATTTTGTAAATGTCTATATTTATTTATAATAGCATTTTTTGCTCTCCTTTCTAACCATTAAATTCYCCCTACAGGTTTATAAGCTATCCTCGTACAGAGACAAATATATTTCCTTCATCACTGAACCTAACAGAACTTGTCGAAAAGCAGACCCAAGACCAGCAATGGGGAGGTACCTTAWTGTATAGTGCTCTGTAAGGACTGACAGCAGCGTTCTTTTGTGATAATGTCCTAACTTGTTCCTAAAATGTTTGTCTTAAAGGGTTTGCAGCGGGTGTTCTTGCACATGGACCGAACCCTAGAAATGGCAGAAAGACAGATAACGCGCATCCCCCCATCCACCCTACCAAGTACACAGACAGTCTACAGGTATGCTCTTTAAGTAGGAGTGATATGTATCACTATGTTCTGTTAAATGATACTTGGACTCAATGACAAGAATTCAAAAATAATCAACATACAGTACATTTAAAATTGAATTTTATTAATGATTATAGGGTAATGAAAAGCGCATATATGAATTCATAGTTAGACATTTTCTTGCGTGCTGTTCAAAGGTAGGTGCTTTTGTATTCATTCAATTAAATGTGTGCTAGTTTGTTCTCTTGTTTTTTCATTCACTCAGAGGTCTATTTGCTTTTTCTCCTATCTTTCATTCAATATTTCACTTTTTCGCCCACAACGTGATTCCCAAATACATACATGTAATTGTACTCTCTGAAATTATAAACGTACCCACAGTCACTGTGACCTTTCTGCTATAGGATGCTGTTGGTAAAGAAACAAGTGTTGATATTGATATCGCTGGTGAAAAGGTAAGACTAACAAAGACTCACTCTTTTATAATCAATGCTACAGACTGCAAATACACCCTTGCTTTCATTAGCCTTGGCTTACTATAACAATCTACAGTTCACAGCTACAGGACTAATGATCTTGGAACGCAACTATTTAGAAGTTTATCCTTATGATAGATGGAGTGACAAGGTATATACTGTTATCACTGACTTCCTTCATAGACCACATTATCCAATCAGAATAGATTCAATTCAAATTTATAATTATTTTATATAAATTATTTGTTATATTATATAATAATATACAGTTAAACTTACTTAAATGGACAACCTTGGGGTGAAGTTAAAATGTTCATTTTGTTGTAGAGATGTTTGCCTATGAAAAATTGTGAAAGCAATTTTTTGTATTTGGAATAAAAAAATATGGAGTTTTATAAAGCTGTCAATATAGCCTCTGCTGGTGGGGTTTGACTRTAGTTTATGAATTTGTGTTCATTGTAGACTATTCCTGTATATGAACAAGGACAACAATTCCAGCCGACTTCCATTGAGGTATGTACTGTACAAATCAATATTATCTATTTCTTTGATATTATTTTTAAATTAATACTTTATAATGCGTCATATATCTGTTTCTAGATGGTTGAAGGAGAAACATCTCCACCACCTCTGTTAACAGAAGCTGATCTTATAGCTCTCATGGAGAAACATGGTATAGGTAAGTGTTCTAGGGTAAATGACCAAYATTCAGAATGTTGGTCATGATATTCAAAAGATTAAATGCTTAGTTTGTAATCAAGTTTTTCTCACCCTTTCTTATTCCTTATTCCTTGTTAATCAATTTTTTTTTATAGGAACGGATGCTACCCATGCTGAACACATTGAAACCATCAAGAATAGATCCTATGTTGGTGTACAAGGTGATGGGACCTTTCTTCCTGGTCAGCTTGGAATGGGTCTTGTTGAAGGTACAATTCATTCATATTTGTTTATCACATATTAGAATAGTGTCCTATAAGTTGCAGCTGAGAAACTTTTAATTATGTCTTACAGGTTATGACTTGATGCAATTTGAATTTTCAAAGCCAAAATTAAGAGCCGAGCTTGAAGCAGATTTGAAAAGGTCAGTTATGTTGAATTCAATGTTGGATAATTTTGATTTCATAAATATTATTGGTGATGGCAATTCTTCATAGTTTCCTTTGAAGCCTCCTTTTGTGGGGWCCCTGTCTCTCTGGGGAGGAAATTTGATGAAACTGGAAATTGCAGTTGTTTGAGAGACGAAATGATTCACCAATTTTTGTGTTTGAATAAGTATTTAACTAATGAATGAAGTTATTGATTAACAATTATAATATTATTTTTGATCTTTTCCATATAGAATTTGCGAAGGCACAAAAGTTGGTGCAGGTAAGCTGTCAAATAATAATTAGTGATAAATTACTTGTGATCAGTCATTGATATTTTTGGTATTTCATTGGGATTGACAAATCTACTCCATTCACTCTTTTCAGATGTCCTGCAAGAGCAAATYGTGAAGTACAGAGATATTTTTGTAAAGGCTGCACAAGAGGTTGGTATTTTAGTTTTGTATTCTAATTATTATCATTTTTTTATAGCTTGCAGTCAGTAAAAAGCGGTGACTTGTGATTTGCTTTGTAATAAATAGAACAATAAACTGATTCATCAACTTATATTTACTAGGCAATGAAGCTTGATCAAGCCTTGTCATCTTACTTTGGAAATCCAGAAGCATACACTGAACCAGGTACATGTTATTAAGTCTTATTGGTCATTCTGTAAATAGAATAATTACCACATGAGAGTGATAAATAGAGGATATTACATGGGCGCGCGGAGATACGGATTTTATCTTTTAGTGTTGAAAATATCAATTTTACATAATGGAGAAATAAATATAAGTATTTCATAGATAATTATATGATTAATTTGGATATCACAGCAATTGATCCTCAAGCTCAAAACCCTCAAGTCAGACTCTGTCCTCGATGTAAAACTGAACAAATGACTTTGAGAAAAACTAGCAATGGAAAGTAAGTTTAAGCAAGATAATATTTTCAGTATATCTTACCATATATTTTATTGATTCCTTTTTCATTTCTTTCTCTGTCCCCTGGGCCTCTTTCATTATTTAAATGATTTTACCAAATCTTCATTTCTCTTTATCATTCTATCCCACTTGTTTACTAATTCTAGCTTTCTCTACTTCTCTCATTCTCTTCATCTTCCTTCCTTCCTTCTTTTTTTCTCCTCCCTCTTTTTTCTTCCTGTCCCATTACTCCATTTCATTATTTCATTTCTTAATCATTCTTTCAATTGTTTATCAGCTACATGATAGGTTGCCTAGGATACCCTCACTGCAAAGCTTCCATCTTTCTTCCCAAGTTTGTCTTGAATGCTGAAGTGGACGAATCAGTGTGTAGAATCTGTGGTCCTGGACAAGTACACCAGTTGAAATTCACCTTTAAAAGAGGATCAGTTCCACCCATGATCCCTCTACAGTAAGTTGGGTTATGTCATGGATATGTCCCCGCTTCTATTTTAATTGACATTAGGATTTTTAGTGTATTTATAATCGCTGATAAACCATGGAGTCCCTCTATTTCATTGCTTTATAACTCAATGAAATTCTCATTCTTTTGTTGTCAATTTTCTTTCATTTCATTCTCTTTCGTTCATTTCTGTTAGACATGTTGGCTGTGTTGGAGGATGCGATGAAATGCTMCGTGAAATCCTGGATCTGAAAAATATCAGTAGCTCGTCCATGCAAACAGGTTTGAAAGGAAACACACAAAAAGTTGCATTTCCTATTTTTTTTTGTTTTTGTAATTATTTGATTGACGGATCAGTTGGGCAATTAGATAAATGAATGAATGAGTGAATAAATGATTGATTGATTGATTGATTCGTTGATTGACTGATTCATTCATTTATTTATTTGTGGGTTGGTTGGTTGGTTGGTTGATCGATTATTTCGTTGATTCATTGGTTGATTTTTTGATTTATTTATTCCAGGCTCAGTACAGACCTCCAGACCTTCACAAAACCGCGGTCGMGGAGGCACAGGGCGTGGTGGTACAGGTCGCGGAGGCACAGGGCGTGRCGGTACAGCACGTGGTACAGGGCGTGGCGGCGGATCAAGGCGAGGAAGAGGGCAGATTATGTTTGAGCAAAGTAGCAATACTCAGCCTTCATTTAACCAAGGGAGAGGAAACTTTTCAAATCATTTTCACGATAACACACAATCTACTCCACAAAACAACTTTAATAATAGTATAGGTGGGCGTGGTAGCACGTGGAACCAAAGTGGATTCGGTGACTCTGGATAYAGCTCAGGTTAGTGATAAAATGCATTATATAAAACCTCTCCTTTCGACCTTTGAAAGACAGAGTGAGATCTAATTTGCACACCTCTATAATAGGGACAGTCTTATAACAAGAATATACACTTTCCTGTAATTACGCATACATCATGTCCTCTGATATCCCATCAGTACGCATCAGTGGCATAATTTTGCTTATGAAGACATTTTTCTTTTGTACAGGAAATAGCTTCACATCTTTTACTTCCACTCATGGGTGAGTTAGATTTTTCATATTTTCGTTTTTCAATTTTTTCTATTTTCCATTCTTTTTCMATTCATGATTTCGTTTTTAAGTTCGTCCCCTCGTTGAGATATTTGTGCAGCTCTAATAATGAAGGGRCCAGACTACTGAAGGGAAAATGCAGCCCTGCTCTCTAGTTAATACGATATCAAATTTTACCTCAATTAGTTTAATCCGATTGTCATCTATTTCAAACAATGCAATACTTGCGCTTATTGAAGATTTTCCAAGCCATTTCGGATTCTTAAGGCTTTTTCACTATATCGCCTTATTTGTAATTTGCAATGTTGTGACATTCCAGTTGCTGAAAAATTTCCGCGCGGTCTCCCTTTGGTATTCTAATTACAGTTATTGTTGAACGTCATCAAATTTATCATGACGTCACAATGCACTAACGAAGCTTATTGTTTACGGATTGGTATGTGATTGAAAGAATTAATACCATCCTCAGATTTTTTTTACTTTTTCTCGTTTTGATTTTCAAGAGATGAGAATTCCGTTGTGTGCGAATGTGGGTCAGCAGCCGCTACTTTCAACGTCAAAAAAGACGGGCCTAATAAAGGTAAGGTAACTCATGATAAAATGGCTGCCTTCCTATCWCTAGGCTTTARTAACACGATCACAAAACTACCAACCAATGTTTGAACTGATTCTCTTGTTGAGAAACGTTTCAAGTGATATGTTTTAGAGCGGATTTCGTATGACTGGGAAACGGACGGTACTGTACTGTGTCCGTAATCGTACTGTAACCAAATTCTAGTGCCCCATTGTTTCACCAAAATTCTGCAGGCCAGGTSCGGTAACTGTGYGGTAACCGTGCGGTARYGGTGTCCCACTCATACGAAATCCGGTCTAAACTGACTGGCTTGTAGACGAATTGATGGTCTGGTGGAGGCATTGATTAACGGACTGTCGACTTTCAGGCRGATTGACTGGCGTACTGAATGTTTGTTTTTTCTTTCTTAGGTCGTCAATTCTATCGTTGCTCTAAGCGAGAAGGTGGTTGTGGATTCTTCTTGTGGGCAGATGAGGGAGTTGCAGGCAGCTCACACCACAACCCCACCACTCCCTTTAATAGTACTGGCTCAAACTGGAACAGTWCTGGTAATTCTCGAGGGAACGGATTCAATAGAGGGTAATGTGTTTTTTCTTTGTTTGGCGATAAATCAAAAATGATAATTATCATGAATGTCATTACTATGTTTCAGGTCCAGTAATTCGAATGAGCCATTATGTAATTGCAACCAGCCTGCTGCCAGGTAATGATCTTGTTCAGTACATGCAACATCATCATCATCATCATCATCATCATCATCATCATCATCATCGTCGTCGTCGTTGTCGTCGTCGTCGTCATCGTCATCATTTTATTAATATTGTATTATTGTAGTAATGTCATATCATGTCATTTAACAGAAAAACAGTAAAAAAGGACGGTGCAAATCATGGCCGTCCCTTCTACGGCTGCGCTAAGCCAATGGGGCAAGGCTGTTCGTTCTTCCAGTGGGCAGACGAAGATGGCCCTCCTGCACAGGGTAGAGGCTATGGGTCGAGAGGGCGTGGTGCCGAAGGAAGAGGGCGTGGCTTTGGGCGTGGTAGCGGTGGCGGTGGCGGTGGTGGTAGAGGCGGCAAGAAAAGAAAATGTGGACATTGTCGTATGGAAGGTAAGTTATACCCATTTATTATATAGATGATTTCTAACGCGCGCTCTGATTGGCCAAAAAAGTGTGGTTTATATATGGGAGTATTATTGTGCTCAAAAAAGATTTTTGCTCAAAATCTATATAATAAAACAAGTAAATAAGGCTCAGCCTGTGGTTTCTACTCTGATAAACGCACGCTTGGCATTTGAAAAACACTAAAAAATGTCCAGAAGCACTCTCTTTCAGCTCGTGCTTCTTGACATTTTCTCGTGTGTTTATTTCAAATGCCAAGCGTGCGTTTATCAGAGTATAAACCACGGCTGAGTCTTATTTATTTGTTAATTAATGTTATTGATTTTATCTAATATGCTGAAGATGAAATCACGGCAGACTAAAATCTTTTCCGCATAACTTTTTCTTTGACTTGTTGTGAGATTTAAACTAATCTCTGTATATGAGCAGTTATTGTATTCAAGGCAGTTGATTAGTATTTGTCATAATCACCGAGCCTAAGGCGAGTCCAGGTTGTCGCCTAAGAATGGAAGAGCTCGCCGACTGGACTTTATTCTATATCCAACGTCACAATTCTACATTTATAGGTTGAGATTGGATTCCTCTTTCATGTATTTTTGTGACTTTTATAGGCCATACAAAGAAAWATTGTCCCGATAACAGATGAAATTGTCTTCAACATAGCTTTCTACATTATACATTGAAATATTATTGAGATTTGTTATGTGGATAATTCGTGAACTAAAGCAACGAACGATGCGTTTTTAACACTCTACTGACCCATTAATATAAATATGTAAATTTACTGATTAAAATCATATCAAATCATGGATGTAAGATAAATTTTAAGTTGTATTTTGGCTCAGTTCTTTATTAAAAGTGTAAAAGCTAGCCAAGAGTTACGAGATGATAACTGTACGTAATGCCAGCTTTTTTTTATTACGGACGGTTTGGTTCGTCTTGAGGGTGTCCTTCTTAAGAGTATTTTTAAGTGTTTTTGCTCTTACTTTGTGTATATATTGTTTCTACATATAAAATATCGAAAATATAATATTCTTTTTTCTTTGTCGTTGATRAGAGAATGGACTTGGAAGAATAATTTGTTCCTACGGATTGGTTYCATCGCAGACGCCATGTTCCATGCATGCTTTAGCTTTGTCTTGAGTGTCTAAAATAGTCAAAAATGCCATTGAGTGGTTCCCTGGTATTAGTGATATTGCGAAAATCGTTCTATCTTCAGTATCCCTCATTATGGATTTAGTTTTATAATCATTAAGCATGCATGCTCGTCTTTTCGGTGAATTTTCTCATCCATCCCTTTAATCATCCACTTTCCCATCCACTTTCCCATCCATCCATTTATTCTTTCATTTCATTTATCTTTTTTTCGTTTATCCATTTATTATACTTCACTCACCAAAGCAAAACATCCCGTTGCCATGRTACCCGTCCTTACAAGAACATATATACGAGCCTTCGGTGTTGTGACAGTAAGCTTTGTTGTCACATCTACTGATCTTTTCTAGGCATTCATTCACATCTTGTCATGAAAATAGAGAAAAATTGAATAGTTGAGGAGAACCAAACGAATACGAAAAAAAGGTTATTCCAGTATAAATGAACGGTAATAGAAYTATGTTAGGAATCTTACCCTTGCAGTGACCGTTAACAAGTTTATAACCACCGTTACACATACATGCATAGGAGCCGTCTGTATTGACACATACCGCGTTCTTGTTACACACCGCACCCGCCAGACACTCGTCGATATCTGTGTTAGAGAATAGAAAGAATAATAGGCAATGTACCGTGACGCCATTTTGTGCAGCAAAGCGTGATGGTAGTTGTAGTCCTCGCACAATTTTACGTCCGCTAAAACAGTCGTCCTAGAGTTTTGTAACGGTGCCACGAAAAGTGCGAAGACTGCAACTAGCATTATGCTTTGCTGCACAAAATGGCGTCACTCGGCACATTGCCCATTTAAACCTCATGAGTTCAGTTGTACGGTTTTCAATAGTCCTTTGCGTTCAATCGTCATAAAACTTATCATGAAGTTCTCGTTATCAGCACTCAAGGACTATTGAGAGTGTGCAATAATGTTTTTAGGACTTAAAAAATTAAAAATTAAAAAATTAAAAATTAAATTAAAAAATTAAAAAAAATTAAATTAAAATTAAATTAAAAGGCGTGCGCTTGTATTTTTTTTTTTTGTAAATTTACAAAAGCTTTATTGCAGATTTTTCAAGATTTTGTTGTACAGGATTTTTTTATTTATTCGTATTTAAATCTTCCAACCCTCAAAATCAAAATTCTAACGGATCGCCCCTAAATTACATGTACCGACCTTGGCAGCGATTTTGAGCGCCTAGATATCCCGGTTTACATTGACACATGTAAGATCCCTCCGTATTCAAACACAGGGAATGTTCCGTACAGATATTTGGAAACGCTACACATTCATTTAGATCTGAAAGAAAAACAACCACAAAAATTAAATCGATCTTTGARTGATTTCAGAAGCGAAAACAGGTTTAGATATGACTTGTGCAGAGATAAGTGAATTGAAAGCTTGGTTAAAATAGGTTTTCTAGTGTGTTTTTTGTTTTGTTTTCTAGTGTGTTTTTTTTTGAGAGAGAGGAGAGGAAAGAGAAAGTCGGAAATTATCCYCTCTTTTTCTTACTTAAAGTCCAGTGCTATATGATATGATTGAAATTAGTGATAAAAAGACTCATGAAAATTCAAAATAAAACCGTACATAATTTTTTATTACGTTTTGTTTTTTGACACTGACACGTCACAATATTGGGAATCTCGATCTTGAAAAGTTCACGCTCGAAAAAATATTGTTAGTGCTTTGAAAATATATTTGGATCAGTAATTCAGTAAATTTCTGGGTCCGCCTCTCTCCCATACAAAAGAGAACGGAGAGTAGTAWAGAGTGGTTTTCCGTCAACCATGAACGCACAATAAGTCTAATAGTTAGTAGTAGTTTGTAATAGACCAATACTAATAGTCTAGTCTAGAGTAGACCGCGTGTATCCGATTGATAGGTATCAACATATTCATCACAAAAACAAGTTTTTTTTTATTTTAATGGTCGTTTTTGTTATGGTAACTAATTAAACTAAACGTTTAATTTATTCAAACTGTTGTTTGTTAGCTATTCGTTTATAGTTTATATGTCTAAAAGTTATATTGACTAGTTTAGTACTCATTGCTGCTAACTAGTTGGTCTATTTCTTTTCATGGTTGACGGAAAACCACTCTAGTGAAACGGTAGCGTTGTCTTTACCATCACAGTGTATTCCAGGTCCAGTATAGCCTTCACTGCACAAACACATATATGAGCCCGCTGTATTGATGCACGTTGAGTGAGATGGACATATGTCAGTTTTCTTGCATTCGTCTTTGTCTGCAACAATGAAGGATATATATTTCTAAAATATTTAGGATACTACGCGCGCTGTGATTGGTCGAAAACCATGTTTGATTACAGTTTCTAAAATATTTAGGATACTACGCGCGCTGTGATTGGTCGAAAACCATGTTTGATTACAGTATCAAAACACGCTCGCGCACGTCAAAATTTTCTTTTTTTCTTTTAATTTTAGAAAAGAAATAAAAGACGAAATTTCGTGTTTGATACTCTGATCAAAACACTTGGGATGTAGGGAGAGCACTCGAAAAGCTGGAAACCACTCCGCTACGCGTCGTGGTTTCCTACGCTTCTCTCGTGCTCTCCCTACATCCCGCGTGTTTTGATCAGAGTATCAAACACGGAATTTCGTCTTTTATTTCTTAAATATATATATATATATGGTAGATTTTGTGAGGAAAAGACGTTAAGGTCCTGTTCATACGTCGTACTGTCGTTGTGTCGATTCATAAATACGTGCATTAAATAAGTCGATTCATAGCGTCGAGCTTTTGCCGTCCAGCAGGACTAACGCTGCCGTGCCTCAGTCGGGTCGAGCTTAAATGATCATACGCCGAGCTGTTCATGCACCTATTTGGTTCGGCGCGACTCTTGCTCGACSTATGAAGCGTGCCTAATGTACCGAGGTTTATGGTTATCATWTTTTTCTCAAACACAGAAGAAAAAACAAAACAAAATAAAAACAAAACAAAGGAAAAATGCTAATACTTTGCGGAAAAAGATCCAAGCATCCTTGGACCCAGCTAATCTAATTTGATAACTTGATTATTGAATCAGTTTTTCCAGCTCCATCGGTTTTACTTACCAATACATTGTTTACCGTCCGAATAGAAGCCATTGCCTCCAGAACACTGACAGTCATAAGAACCAATGTTATTCACACAATGAGTTCTGTAAGGACATGTAAACTGACCTGTTTGACATTCATCGATATCTGGTGGAGACGGAAAAAGAATTTATTAGTCCAAGGACAAAAATTAGAGACTAGACATGAATAAAAGGAGCTAAACAAGTGCTTAGCCAAACCAAAAACCAGAAGACTTCTATTAGATGCTACAAATAAAACCAGTCCGCCGCCGAGAAAGAAAAATCGAATATTTGAAACTCCAATCAATTAATGTTTATTTTAAACTTGTATGATAGTCTGAACTGGGCTAAACTTTTTTTTGTGTGTGTGTGACGAGTCTTTTCAAAAGGGAAGTTGAACGTTTTCATCATTTTTGAGAGTTTGTTTATCTTAAAACAGAAGGAAAGCAAAGTAACGACAGGAATAGCTAAAAATAGATAGGTTCTCTGAGACGTTTCTGCATTTTGATTCTTACCTACATTAGTGAAAATATTGCCGCAAACGGTGACAAACAACAAAGTTTGTAAAATCGTAAACTGCATATTTCTCTTCATCTCCTTGTCTTCGCGCGCGGAATGAAAGATTATTTGAATCAAATGACTCAACGGTCTTAATTTTCTTATCGAGYGCGCGCGTTTAAAAAAGAAGATATAAAAATTTGAGTTCAAATGACGGTGACAATCATGTGTCTTTTCTTAGTCAAATGAGTATTTCTTTTCACAATAATGAAGCTATGTTTTCAGTTTGGGGGATTAGCTTCTTGTCTTTCTTTTTTCTCAGTACTAATGTCAATTTGGGATTGGTTTGTAAATTGAACTACGAATGGTACAACAGAAAAACTATATGGTCTTCCTTACTCGTTTTAGGATTGCAAACGAGGTTACCTTTTTGTATCAAAAAAGCATAGCAACTGCATAAATAAGATTATTATTTACAAGAAAAACTGATCTCAATAGAATAGCTCTGAATTCTCTTATTTGGCTTCTTTCTTTAGTTAAAGTATTGTGATAATTTCAGAAGTATATAATAATTTCCATCAGTATTACTGTTTTAAACTATCCCAATTACTAAGTTTCATGTCTGACCTTAAAAGAGTCGACCATTATGTTATGTTTCTCACAGCATGGTTCAATTGCTCAGAATTAATGCTAAACCTCTGCTGGAGATATCTTAAAAGCGTTAATAATGTTTGTTTATGCGATAAACGATGAGAAGAAAAGAACATTTTTGAAAATGATATATTTAAAGTATGGATGCGCTTGCATTGGAACGTTTATTAGAGTTTCCAGCATCTAGAGAGCTTGTTCAGTTTAACAGAAAGAAAACAGGTGGATAATAAAATTAATGAAATACACCAAGACAATGATAATAGCTAAATCGATGCTAAATTAAACTCCTCTCAAAACCAGTTTTATTTTTCTTTCTGAATATTATCCGTACATTTTGGCATGTTTTCAGGATGGCTTTATTAGTTGTGAAGTATATACTTTTGATACAGCTTAAATTAATGGCAACATTTTTTTAACTACATCTTTATGTTTATCAAAAGAAGTTCCTGATCATCATATAACCGGAAGCTGACTAACAGACAGCGTATAGTCGTGAGGTGCGTTGGCAATTAGAAACCACAGGAAAAAACTCGAAAAATCATGTTTACCTCGGGTATAGATGATCTTCCTATTGAAACTCAGAAACACTATACAATTTCTCACTCTTTGGTTCAGATCAGTGTCTCTTCTTTTCGGGTCGACCTAAGAATTCGTTTAATTCTTCAAGAATATATATAAAATTAACTTACGAATATGAAAATTTGCTTTTTTGCGAGCTTTCTGTACTTGGTTTTGCTACTGGTTCTTTCTCAACATGCAAAAGGTAAGTTTTTYATGCTCAATTTGATATGTCAAATACACGGTACAGGTCATCAATATAACGATGAATTTTGAGTTTTGGTTTTCTCAAACAAACAATATATAATTTTAWAGATAGTTGTGAATGTCCTGACGCTAACACTATCTATTTTTTTCTGCTGGTATTTTCAGGTCTGACTTTTAAGCACCTTGGTTGTTTTAAAGACAATTGGTTTTCCAGGGCACTTCCTGAGTACCTTGGGACATTTCGCAATCCCAGCACTTCCTCTAAGCAGTGCGCAAACCTTGTTATGAAAAAGGGTTACACCACTTTCGCAATCCAATCTGGCGGTCAGTGCTGGAGTGGTGTATCTGCCGAACATACCTATAACCGGTACGGGAAAGCTAAGRGGTGCCGCGGCGGTGTCGGGGGAGCATATGCGAATGATGTTTACCAGTTCCCCTGTAAGTAATAATGAATGTTTTTAAGTTATGTTTTCTTATGGTTACTTTTTGCGCTGTGTGTTTTTTAAAAAAATTCTTATACAAATAATTTAAATTAATTTCCCCGTTTACATTTATTTAGTATACTTGCTTTTGAAGAAGATTCGGAGTAAGTTCACAAAGCAAGCGCTTCTAATCAAGGTCAGTTTTTGAGCTACACGCGCTTTTCGATCAGTTACTCGCTTGACCACTCCCAGGATTTTTTTCATTGTTTTTATTACTAAAAGAAGCGATTATTCAAAAAAGAGTGAAATGAGAATGAGTCAAAAATTTGCGTGACAATTAAACTATTCTTCTTTTTGATGATTACGGTTTATACGCTGCGCACGAACGAGATAAATGTGGTGCTTCGCCACAACTTCCAAAAGGTGGCTTGTTTCGACCATTTTTAAATGATTTATATAAATTTTTTAACTCGGAAAGTCAGGAACGCCCGCATCAAGAACGCAATAGCTCAAAACGTTAGTTATCAGCACTAGTACTATTCACAATCAAATAACATTGTGCTTAATATTGTACGTTTTGAATTGCTAGATTATGCTTATTAATAATTGATTTTCAATGCTGTTATTTTTCAGGCTCTTTCACGAAAGGATAGATCATTGACGCGAAGTTTTTACAGTCTGAAAAACCGAATCAGTCGCTCCCGCGTCTGGTGCTATTACAAATACACGAAATGGGATTTATATGCCGCCGCATCTATTCTGTACCTTGACCGACAATTTGTAAGTTGCCCGTACCCTTACTTCCTGTCTAATTTTCGCCTCCAAGGGCGTGGCGGCGGATCACGTGCTCCGGTTCGTTATCGATATCGATGCTGTAAGTTTATTCTGTAAATCTGGCATATCATAGCCAAACCGGATGGCAAAGAATACACGGCTAGTAGAATAGTTAAGAAAATAATTGTAAGGGTCAAATAAATGAATCAATATTAAAGTGCATTTAAAACTGAGGACTTCCCGAATTAATATTTCACTTTTTTGCAAACCGATACGCTCTACAATTCTGACGTACCGAAAGTTGTAACAATGACCAGTTTTTCATATTAACAAGCACTTTGTTCTTCACTTACCGGATTCATTGATTGTCTCGCAAACAGCGACATAAAGCAGCCATGTTTTGCTGAAAATCCGACACGGCTTCTGAAGAATTGATAATTTTAGTGTCATTTTCAGCTCTTATCATGAAACCTTGTTACTTTTCTGCAGTATTTTACGTCTTAGTTTTGCTTAGCGCACAAATTTCTTTTCTTACTGTATTCGTTCGATGAAGCATTATGACATCATCAATTATTTGATGACATCACATGGGTAACCACAGGGAGACCGCGAGCCGACTTTATAGGTGGCGCGACAATTGAGTCAACCGCCATTAACTACCAACTTTTAATACCTTTTGTTTTTAGAATCTCTTGCTCTTTTTATAGCTTAAACTTCAATGTAGAGCTACATTTTGCCTTTAAAGCTCCTGAAAGATTACCCGAAAGTTGAACACACTGATTCAAATCTGACGTTTGCGCAAAACGCAAAGAAATGGGAAATGCAAATAAACTATCTTACTTTTTTAACGGAAAACAGTTACATGTTTAGCACTTTTTGATGAGAGATGCAAAGAAGGAGAATCCCGTGCATTTTGGGTGATTTTCACATGATGTATTGACTTTTTAAACTGAGCTCTGTAAAGGCTTATACTAAAGTTGAACACCAAGAAAATGAATAGCATTAAACCAATTATCTGAATTATTAATTGTGATAATTGAAATATATATACCTTGAGTGCATTGACAAAGACATAGTCATTGATGACGCTTTTACAACAAGCATAGAGCTATCTTAAATTACTTCCACAAGTTTAAACATTACTTGTTAAATTTTGCCACGATTCGTTACATTTAGAGAGATTATTAGCTGTGATTGGCATCTCATTGTCAGCATTTTCGAACGCCCCTAGAGAAAAAATAAAAATTSTATAAAAAAGATTTTCAAACGCCGAATCTAACATGTGTCGAATTATAGTCAATGCAAATTACTGCGAAGAAATAAAAGATTGTTCAGTGGATTTCATGCATGTAAAAAACGGTTTGAAAAAACGTACAAAATCCCATTCATGATGAAGGACTTTTGTATTGTTCTTTGAGGTATATTGCCAGTCGTCTGATTTGTACATCGGCAAATGCAGTGCTCTTTTTGATAGATCTTTAATCTGTTGATCGTCGTAATAAAGCAACCTTTTTGGGGGGGGATCAAATCCTAGATCAAATCGACCCCAGGCATCTCTCCACAGTCATACAAATCGGCCATTTGCCGTATATTTAACAAATAACGCACGGTTTTGAGTTTCATGTCCTCTTAATATTGACACACTMTTGACGTCATAAAATGTTCAAAACTCAAGTGGACTGCAAAGTTTTGAACATTTTATGACGTCAAGAGTTTGTCAATAAGAGGGCATACAACGAAAAACCTTGCACAATTTGTTTTTTACCACATTTTAAAATCTAAAAAATAAGCGAAAATCATTCTTTTTTTTTCAAATGTGCACGCGCGCGAGCAGTGATGGTGTGCATGTCCTCTTATTGACACACTCTTATCAAAATTTACACAAGTGTGGTTTAAGTTGATTTTTATCCTCTAAGTCATATAAGCTACTCACGTAATTTCCTTTATCTTAAGTGCCTATTGAGTGAGAGTCGAGACCTATTTTAATGAAGCCCCAAGGCTTGTATAAAAGGGCCTGGTGTACCTTGAATAAGCAACAAAATACGACTGTTCCTTTTCAAATCCCGCAGCTAAAAAAACATTAAAGCAATTTTCTAAATTAAATTAACGGTTCACTTAGTGYTCAGTAAAGGAAATTGAATTTTAACCGAGTTGTTATTGGAAATGATAATAACATCGGCTTGTCAAGCTATTAAGGGGGCGAAAAAAGGGAACACGACAAACAAAACAATCGTTTCTATTGGCAGGTTGATAATTTTCAGGGAAACTTTTATTTAATAGCATTTGAATGAAAATAGCCATTTACTAATTTCTACATAACTGAGCGGCCTGATTATGGTGGTCGGAAAGAGCGGAAATTAGAAGAAGGAACAATTTGAGAACACTCCTGATCTTTCTGGTCAGCTTTGCTCGTTGCATGCTGCCAAAACAAAAGGGTACTTTTCAATGGGCAATCTTATATTCAAGCCTTACACCTGGCGGACACAGATTGTGTGAGAAAAATAAGTTGAAGTGTGTCTCAAACAGAGCTCACTACCGGGAAAGGCACTTTTAGCAACTTGATTCGCAAACCGTCTGTAAGTAATGGAGAACTAATCAAGCCGTCAAACAGGCAACCACTCAGATATCTTCAAGAATTAGATAAGAGGTGGAAGAAAGTAGAGTGAATCCCGTGACGACACAACTGGCATGCACAGATCTTTATCTATAGTATAAAAAAACAACACGAAAGCTCAAGGCAAGACAAACAGCGAGATTATAAACTTATCTTAACAAGCTACGGAACGAACGAACGATGGCCATAAATAACACAACAACAGATTACGAAACCGAATTTGTGGCCAAGTGTCTCGATCATGCGTTTTGCCACAGATATGTTGGCGGCAGTTTCAGCAAGACGACGTTTTTCCAGTTCGTCGTAGTGGTGATATTTGCGATAATCACTCCTTTTATTAACGGTGTGTTCATCCTKATGATGTATATGCTAGAAGAGTTGAGGAACACTTCAAACTACTTTTTCTTAAACATTTCGTTGGTGAATATAAGCTTTGGATTCGCAAGTCTTATCACATGCAGTATGTACTACAAACAGTTAGCCACCTGCACCGTTCAAGTGTGTTTTTACCGAGAGGTATATGTTCATATCTCAGGTACTGGTATGGCTTTGACAATGACTACTTTCACAGTCATCAGTATCGAACGGTATATCTGTATTTTCCATGCACTTCGCTGGGAACAGATCATCACTACGCGGAGAGTGATCGTTGTACTGGGYTCCCTGTGGATGTTCTGGATCGCCGTTCCAACCTCTCTCCGCGYCGCTGACTTGTGGGTGATTTTCGAGATGTTGTACATGAGTCAAGCAGCTTTAACTATTTCTACCATAGTGATCACTAACTCTATTATCCTTAGAGAAATTCGACGCCACGAGAAAAGAATTGTACAGGAGTATGTTGCAGCGAACGCGGATGAGATCCGAAAAGCGCGCGAAAAAAGGCGCGCAAAGACGATCATCCTGATGGTGACGCTCGTGATTCTGTGCTATCTCCCTTCACTAGTCCTCGTGATCGGACACCGAATTCCGAGTCTCGATCAAGTCAGCTGGAAATACGCATGGCTCGTTGCTAGAACGATCTTCCTCAGTCATACAACTTTTGACATTATTGTCTATGGACTGAGGACGGAGGAGACGAGGAAGGGATTCCGAAAAATATTACGTAGACTAGTTATAGGTACTTCTAATGAAAATTAATAAACATTAATGCGGTTGCTCTTTACTCCGACGAAGGATTAATGTCCGAAACATCAGTAAGTTGTTTCACCTATTTTTTTACGGTGTGAAATTTATGTTTTTACACAACTGTTTCTTTAGTAGAAACACCAACGCAGCTCACACTAGATTACCGCTAGTTCCCACCATAATGGTGCAATTACGTGGGTGGCGCATATAGGTGGGGAGTGGGGTGGGGGGTAGAACCCCCATCCTAGCTTTTTCAAAAAAGGCTGCACTAATTATGTTGATGCAAAATTATGTATCTATAAAAGAGACTTTCCCAGATTGTAAGACTAAGGAAAATTGAACACGTCCTACCAATGACTTGGCGGATCCAATAGTGCTGATTTTAGGATATTTCAATTCCTTCTTTCTTTCTTTTTTTTCTTTTTTACCGAAAACCGACCTAATAGTAGCTAATTAGCTGAGTTACAATCGTCAAACCGGCAACCTTTAAAACCCGCCAATATCTAGTTATTCCGACTCCAAAGAGGGTTTTTAGCCACTTTTTCACTGGCCTTTTCCCACAATGCACCATATGATTAGAAAGATATTCTTAATCATTTTCAGAAGTTTTGCAAAACGCTGTACTGTTTTCCAGTATAGTCTACTTTCGATATCTTTTTGTGCAGGCTTATCCTCGAAAGCATGTAATATATTCTTTTAACAGAGAATCTATTGTAATGCAAATACAAAGAAGACAWTAATAATTTATGATTGATTGAATCTCAGCTTGCACAGCTAAAGAGAATTCGAAATTTTCGAATTTTCGAATTCATAATCATATGTTCAAAGTTGTAAAATGTCTAAATGTTCAAAACAAAAGGAATATATTGTAATTTCGTAAGTAATTGATTAATGTAAAACAAATGTAGTGTAATGTTTTAATATGTTTTTAGTGTAGTATAGTGTTGTGTGATTAGTGTATTTCAATGCAAACAATAAAATAAACAAATAAAAGAAAAATCGAAAACTGGCCGGAGTATTGCCCATAAAGACAAATATATATATACAAATTCTTGGCCGGTGTGTAAACACATGACCAGGAATCCCCTGAAAAATAAAGCAACAAAGCTATCGCCGCCATGTTGGATGACTGAACAAGAGAAACTAATGAGGAATGTTTGTGATCTTCATCCAACATGGCGGTGATGACGTAACTTGAACACCAACAATATGCATGGTTACACTCTCAACAGGAGATTTTTCTCGGCTTAGTTTGATTCTAAAGTCATTCTTTTACAGTTGGACAAGTAGTGACTGACGGGTCAGGTGCAACTGGGCTTTTCGCTCAGTTTTAATCTACGGCCATGAAGTCATTCTGGATTTGTCTCGTTGCAATGGTAGTTTTCACAGCCTGTAAAGGTATGGCCAAAAAGAAAAATCTTTCTTATCGAAATTAAGCATATCTCATTAACAATAATCAAAGTCTGTGAAATTAGATAACTCATAATCTAAAACTGTTCAAAAATTGTTTGAAAATCTAAATTAAAGTCAGTGAAATTAGAGTTCGAAAACAAAAACAAATTTGAACCTATACTATTGTTCGACCGCAGTGAAATAAAAAATAATGTTAGTCTATGTCGTTCACCAACTGGGAAAATAACGGAATTGGAGACTGATCTAGCAAGTATTGACTTAGTTCCTCTTAAAGCTTTATAAAGTTTTACAGTGCTTTTTACTGTGTTACATATACAAAGTTGAACTTCAAGTTGAAAGTTGAAAGTTGCTCTCTGAAACTCTTGCATAACCTTTATCAGAAACCGATAAGGGACTTGAAACGTGCAACGCTGTATTCAAATCTAATTTGCATTGTATTTCCTTATTTGGAACAATTAAATTCACCCTATAGCCAACCTGAACGGGTCTTAAATCTCTTATCTAAYGGCCGATTTTTCCAAACTGGTCATAAAGTTCGTTTTCGAATTTTTGATGAGCTTTGAATACTCCGAAGATTCAGTACTAAAGAAATGTACGGGCGTTACGCGTTTCAAGTATAGGTTTAATTCTGCCCTTATATAACTTCAAGGGAATTAATATAATTTTCTTTACATTAAAAAWTTCAGAACATCATATCTATCAGCTTTTTTTAATTTTATTTCATTTTTTCTGATAATGAATTAATAATATAGTTCATTATTGGCCGTCATTTACGAAAATTGTCAATAGCGCACAGCCGGACCAAGCGGCATCAGTCTAGCTCTAATTGAATGCTTAATCAGCGGGAGATTTGCTTGCGCAGGTGCTACACCCATGATGAAAAAAGATTGATTATCGCAATTGACCTCACTTTCTTAACGCATAATGATTCCGAATCTCTGAATTTCAGGAAACTAGCTGAAATTATATACGGCGGCTTCGAAAAATGGAAATCAATCACGCAATAAAACCCGGCTACCGAGCTCAAATTGTTAGGTTAAACATGGTTTCAGCATCTGTAGCTAGTCACTGATTTATCATTCAAAATATAACAAAAGTGGCTCAAGTTGATGTAAATCCAGTACCTTGGAACAAAAATTCCATGTAGTTTGTGGAATATCTTAATTAAATAGAGCGTAAATTCTAAATTTTTGCACTAAAATTAAAGTAAATTTTTAAGTTAAAGAAAAATGTCTGTACCCTATTTACTATTGAAAAAACAGCAGCCTCAAGCTGATACAACTTAAAACAGTCTATAAACAAGAAAATAAGGTTATAACTGGATCCATAAGAAGTGGAATATTTTTCTCGGGAAGCAGGTGTCGATCAAAAGACAATAAGACCTGACTTAATGGGAAGTCTTGTTAATTCTACGTAGCATGTCGCATTTGAGAAGAATGACGCAGATACCATGACGAACAAACAAGACTAGACTGTTTAGAGAATCAGTGGGGGTTGGTTTGGGACTGAGTCGAAAAAGAAGAAGAAAAAGCAGAAACTATAAGAAAAAGAAGAAGAAAATCGAAGGAGAAGAATAAGAAAGAAGAAGAAAAAGTAGATCTAGAAGACCACGAAGACGA